ACGTTTACATTGCTGATCAATTATATCCACACAGTAACCCCCACAAACTGTACAGTCGATAAGTAATGAGGAAATGAATCCGTGTCTCAGAGAAGAATTTTTAATGACGTTCACCCAATTCTTTCAATCAAGAAGGTACTCTGGATGTAAATTTTCAGAAATAGTGTTTGTAATGGATCATACGTATTCTCTATCTTTCTGCATCCCAAATTCCAGAACTTAATTACCTGTTCAAGTTCGATCGAAAACTTCAATTTTCAATAACTCCTTTAACAGTGTGATGGCTCTATATGGCCCCAAACAAAATTCTAGAAGGACGCTCCTTTAGTCAGTTTGGAGGGGAGTCTGTAATTGAGAGTGTACTCAAGTCCTCATCTAACAAAATCATCTGTTCATACCTCTGCACAGAAAAATCGACTGTGCAACTAATATTCTTGTTTCCTTATGATAAGCGAAAACGTAGACACTATTATAAACATAAAACGAACATTCAGACTGATGTCATAAGTACTTTAAAGATGCCACTCATGTTTTCTCTTAAATTCAAATGTTTAAAATTTTGCCTATATTTTATTTATAAAACGGTTTGTTAATCGCCCTATCACTTATGCCTCAGTTTTGCAACTGGTCACTTGGAGCATTTTGACCGGCTGGAAATAGACGCAACGCGCCCGCTATTCCTCATGGTCTCGATCCATCTCCTTGCAAGGGCGGTTTCCCGGCTCCTGATAGAATCTTTTCATCTTTGTGGCTGGCGACCAGGTAGTCCAGTATGCCCACGAGGACATCAGCCGACGATCATCGCCGACCTTCTCCCGTTGGTGGACTGAGCTACGTGCAGGATCCGTTAAAGCTTTCACCTCCTGCCTTCGACTGTACCGTCCTTCACTCTCATCACTGTGTTGACGATGTGCTCATGACGTGAAATTCCTCACATTCCTCCCTCCATGGCCCTCTCAGTGATAGGCGGTCAGTGCACTTTTGCTTTCAAGAGTGACCATGTCTCACAGACATATGACATCTCCTGCAGGACAGTGGAATCAAAAGCTTAGGCGCTGATATCTCCCGTGATGCTACTTAGGCGGACGCCCTTGATGGGATACAATGCTCGCTAATCGGCCTACCTTTTCTGTTAAATCTCTCCAGCCTGATCATGCTGCACGTTTTTCTCTTGGCTAGGGAAATATATTTATCAATTTCTTAAATTTTTCGTTATTTCATATTATCTGGAAATTTGGCGGGACGTAATGTCTTATCACAGTGCCTTCCTTTTTGACCGATTGATTCACAGTGCCATTTCTGGAATTTTTCGGTCGAGCACTTGTTGTTATCTGGGCTGTTTCACACACAACACACGTCATCAGTGAATCTTACGTGTCTGCACTGTTCACCGTTGATGTTTATCTCACCTTTTCAGTTCATCCTATGGAACACCGTCTTCAAACAGGCAGTGGAAGGTTTGAGGGCGACAGTGTCGACTTGTCTCATGCCATACTCTACGAGAATTTGGAGCGGAGGGTCGATCAGAGTGATGTTTGCGAAGCAGGAAGGGTTTACTTCCCTTAACAGGTTGATGTTGCGGGTATATCTGCCAATGCAATATACACTCTGTTGTACTATACACTCTGGAGCGCTTTTTCCTAGTCCATTAAGGCTATGGACGGAGGGAGCGGCAATATATTCAATATTTGAGGAGTTGACTTAAGATACTGATGTAATTCGCTGTGCTGCAACTCCTTCGGAATCCCGCCTGTCCTGAGGGATACTCTTCGTCCAAACTTGTTAGTCTGCTGGTGATAATCTTAGTGAACAGTTTGTGGACTTGTGAGAGCAGGTAGATTGGGAGATAGTTCTGCAGCTCTTCCTTCTCAGCCTTGTCGAGCAGTACCTTTGATTTTTCACTACATACTACGTATGTGATCTTTCCGTTTCGAGGTAGCAACCGCGCTTCTCGGCTAGAACCTTCCACAGTGTCAGACTACCTGCTCTAATAAATTCAATTGTCAAACTTTTTCTCCATAGGGCTATTCGTTCCCCTCCTTGCTGCGCGGCATGCCTAACTTCATTTATGAGGACTTCCTTCTGGCTGTTGGAATGATGGTGTCGGGATACGTGTAACTGATGCAGGGAGCTGTGTGTAAAGGTTCCTACAGACAGACCGCATTTCAGCTCTATTAGACGCTAATGCGGCGGCCTCTGTTTCAGTGCCGCGATGGTCGATGGCTCTCTCCTGAAACGCATAAGTATTTCGCAGTCTTGGACTGTTTCCCGTAATTTTCGCAATCAAAAGATCTCGTTGTCCTCCTTCGACTTCTTTCTAATGAGCTTGCTAAAAACAGAGTACTACACCGTGTCGGTCCCATCTCTTTTCATCTTCCTCCGTCTCGTCAACAAGATCTTTGTCTCTTATGACATCCTTCCTTCGCTCTCTCTCTCTCTCTCTGATGCTGCTGCTGGCTGACTTTACGCAGCACCTCGGTTTCTCGGCTAAATTCCCGTAGTCGTCCTGTCTGTTGTCATTCTGTCTGCAGTCTTCGCTGGAAATGCGCGCTTGGAGCACCGCCTCGACGAGTACCTTTTGTTGTTGTCTGTGATCTGCCCTCTGTAGTGCCTTCCTACCGACCTTCTCTCTGAAGGTTAACCTAGCCCGTACCAGAAGATGGTCACTACCCGCGTCAAATGACGGAACTATGCTATATATCTGATGATGCGGCATTTTTCGAACAGGACAAAGTCGATCTCAATTTTCGTCGCCGCGTTTAGCGCAATCCACGTCCCCCTCCAATTGGTCTTTTTCTTGAACCAGGTGTTGCCAATGTACAGGTGTTTCGTTTGTTCCATGGCTACCAACCGATGTCCTAGCTTATCTTGCTCCCTGATGCCGAGCCTAGCAAGAAAGTGTACACCGGTCCTCGATCGTCCTCTTGAGGCATTGAAGTTTCCCATGACGAGGATATGCGCGGACTCTGAGACCACTACGATGCCAGAGCTGGATTTATGAAGGACTTATGGACAAACAGGGTCATCTCTGTCGCACTGGCGATCGGAAATAGCGTGCCAATTGGACTGTTACTTGATACATAGTAAGCCTATGATTCGAATTGGCAATTTCTGACTTCGCATTTGAAAATCCGTTAGCGTTTCGACCGGACCTGAGCCTGCCCTTAAATGAGCATGATCTACAAATTGAATTGGAAGCTACTATATCGCACTGAGAAGCATACATGGGAACTTAGATTTTCAAATTTAATCATAACTACTGTAGGTGGCACACAACACTTATGTACTCTCTGCACCTCTATGTAGAAAAGTGACACCTTCTCATGTACTCAAGAGTTATGAATGTATTGAAATTCGAAGTATTCAGCCAAATTACTCTAAGCTGACTTCATGGCCGTCTCGTAAATCAAAGCGAACTCGACTAAACCAGTTTCATGGTGTATTTTATGTCGTCAAAAGTTTTGACAAGAGCGACAGCGACGATTGGCGAAAAATGATAAACTTTATTTTAAAGAGGACTTCGATTTTTTCACACGGTGATGTCTTTTTACGGGGTGCTTGTTGAAATACCAGGAAGCTAATTGTTATTACTTTGACTGGTTTTTGGAGACATCGCATTGCGGCTTACCATAAGCGTTAAAGTTGAAAGGAAAACACTGGTTGATGATTTTTGGCCTAGTTTTTGAAAAACAGAAATTCCTTGATTGGACGATTCCTTCGTTATGCTCAGAGTATATGGCTTTACACGCCTGACAATTGTCTGCCGATTTTCAGACTCTGTAAGCAACGGAGTGAGTTTCCTAAC